TCTACTTTTCTGTCATATTATTAGAGCTTTTCTCCCTGCTGTGAGTCTTGGCTGGATTTCCTCCTGATTCCAGGGCAAGAAGGGAAGGATGGAGGGTGTAGGACACAAAATATACAGGGGAAGAATCCAGGAGAGGCAGAGATCCAAAGGCTTCTGTTTTTGGAGGGAACCAGATTGTGTGGGACCTGGTGACCACCTTGAGGCTGCACAAGGGTGCACCTGGAAGCAACCTAGAACACATGGGTTCTCAAAGAGACCGGCTGTCCTTGGATCTTAGAAAACTTGAAATCTGCCAAAAATGGAAAACTTTGAGCCTAAGAACAAGGTGTGTGCTTGACCCCTGATATCAGTGGACTCCAAAAAAGGTAAGTCATCTGGCAAAAATGTTACTTTGCCTACTGTGTTCAAGTCTCCAATTTGGCTAGATACTGTGTACTTTGTTCACGTCAACTTGTGTAAAAACAACAGACAGCCCTATACTGTCAGTGAACTAGCAGGTCATCAGACCAGTGTTGAGTCTTGGGGTTCTGACAGAACTATGACTCAAATTCCCAGAGTTTGAGGAGGCAGGACTTACCATTCTGGCCATGGTGCCTTTGGAAACATATACAGAGGAGGCCTCATGTTTGAACCAACCAAAACTCGGCTTTATCAGCACAGTAGAGTGAACACAAGAGTGATATGCCATCTCCTCTGCCTTGGCTGCCTCAGCCTTACCAGCTCTGGTTGTATCTAAAGGTCATCAAGTTGAGGAAGTTCCTGGACTTTCTTTGGTAGTTGAAGATAAAATTAAAGGTTACAGGGGCTGGGATTGTGGCTCAGTGGTAGAGCGCTCCCCTAGCATGGGCGGGACCCGGGGTTCTATCCTCAGCACCACATAAAAACAAAGGCATTGTGTTGTGTCCATCTACACCTAAAAAATTAAAAAAAAAAAAATTAAAGGTTACAAGTAGATCAAGGAGGCTGTTCTTCTTAAAGTCTGGAATAATTTAAGGAAGTTCTATGCCTCTCAGCCAGTGAGAGCTGCCAAGGGCAAAATGAGAAACCATCACCATATTCAGCGCAGGAGGCCCTGTATCACCTGTAATGCAGACAGTGCTATCTATCATCAAGGCCTTCAGAAACATTCCTGCAATTATACTACTCAATATAAGCAAACTGAACATTTTGAAACTTGCTCCTGGTGGGTATGTGGGACGTTTCTGCATTTGGATCAAAAGTGTTTTTGGAAGTTAGACATAACCGTATGGCACTTGGCATAAGGCTGCTTCCCTCAAGAGTAAGTATAACCTCCCTTTGTACAACATGATCAATACAGACGTTAGCAGAATCTTGGAAAGTCTAAAGGTCCAAACAGCCCTCAGGGCACAATATTAAGACCATTCACCACAGAGTCCTGAAAATGAATCCATTGAAAAACCTGAGGATCAAGTTGTAACTAAACCCACAAGCAAAGACCAGGCGCTGGAACACCATTCTTGCCATGCCAAGAATCACAAACTTGAGGTGGATAAAGTAGCAGCAGCCAAGTGAAATGAGAAGGGAACTGTGGTAAAGAAACAAGGAAAGAAGGCTGCTAGTATTAAGCAGAAGCAGCCTGTGGGGAAATGGCTGCACCTACAAGAAACCAACAGCCAAAAATAAACCTGTCTCAGAAGAAAAGAAGCCTGTGTGTTAACTCCTAAAAAATCTGTTTCATTCCTTGAAATGAAATGATTTTGAATAGCTTATTTTGAATAGAGCTGATCAGAGAGGCAGTGACAATACAAATAAAAAAAAAAAAAAAAGGAAGAGAACTTTAGCTAAGCACAGGATCACCCAGAAGAGACAAATGTATTTCATTAATTCTCTATTTTAGAAATCACTAAGAAAGAATAATATCTAAAATAATATCCAAGACAGTGAGTTCTATAGGTTACAACTGCATAAATATGGGAAACCAAAGCTTGTATGTTCAGAACAAGAATAAAATAGAAATAAATTCTCCATGATGAAAGGCAGCAAAGCAACCTGCATGCTCAACCTTGGCCTTGGCCTTGGTAGGCAGGACTCCCCCTGAGAATGTTAACTACAAACCAGTAACATAAAAGCTTGTAGTCTGGATTCACACAGATGGTGTGATGCAAAAGTGCTCAAGTAGGGAATTTAAAGTGATCTCAGATTGATACTGTTCCTTGTATCTAACAGAAGCAAATGCACTTCCTCTTAGGAAGAACCCAAATTCAATCCAGGTAGTTTTAATATCTCAATTAAAGAGATGTTAAAATATGCAAATTGGGTGTTTCAGAATTAATGAAAATTATCTCATACTCTTGCAACTCACAACCCTATAGGCCAGGTACAGCCATGTAACCTGAATGTTAGCCAGGGGTATAAAGGAAGTATCTGTGAGTGATACTTCTGAGAACTTCCATTCTGTTGCAGCTGTGACATCCTTGTGGCCTCTTCTTCCTGTTTCTTTCCTGTTACCTGGAAGCAGATGCTTCTTATACCTGAGCTGGGGGTTGCACCTGGGGATGATGAACTAATGGGTTGTTGGGTATGGTTCCTGAGGACTTTCTAGAACAGAGACATCAGTACAGGCCTGTGGCTTCTAAACTTGCATGAGATGCCTTGTTTAAGGTATAGATATTTGGGTTTTCCTGGTGGTTGTAGCTGAATCCTAGATGATGTAGGACACAAAGATTATAAGGGGTCTCTGTCCACAGGAATGAAGAGTCACCACGTGACAGTTTCCAGCCTATGTAGGAAGGGCTATATTTGATGGATATATAAAGTGGGAATCTAGGAAGAAATCATGACAGGAGAGAAGAAAAAGAAATCAAGGCAGGTGTTTTTAAGGATAAAGAATCCTTGAACAGGGCCTGAACTTAAAGGTTTACTTCAAAATTGAACACATTTCCTTACTGTAGGCTTCTTCCTTTGTTGATAGGTTACCATTTACCTGAATAAATTATTCATAATTATTCATATTTATTTGACAAATAAATCTCAGACAAATATATATATCAGACCTGGTACTACTCTAGGCACCTGGAGATATAGTTGTGGGAAAAATTAACAAAAATCATACCTTCATGAAGCCTACTTTCTAGTTGGGGTCAGACACTAGCAAATACTGGCTATCATTTCAGTGACAAGTACAATACAGGAAAGAGATAAGTGTAAGGGAATGGAGAGTGAAGGCAGGGGATACTGTTTAGAATATTTTAAAATAGGGTGATCAGACAAGGCTCCTCTGAAGAAGTAACATTTAACCTGAAATCTGAGACCATAATCATATGAATGGCCAAACCATTTTAAAAAACTCAGAAGTGGGGTTGGGGGAAAAAAGGCAGAGAGAAATGGAAGCTGAATAGCTCTTCAGCAGGAATCACTGAAATAGCAGCAAGAATGAGAAAGAGTTGTAGGGCCAGAAATCAGAGACACGTGGGATGATATCTCTTATGAATTAGCATAACTTAGAATTAATCTTCTGGTTGGAAACTAATTTGCTATTTGAAACAGGAAGGGAAATATTCACAATATAATTCCTAGCTTTTCATGTAGCCCAAGCTCTCAGGAATATTAAGAAAATGAAGTTCAACCAAGGCTATAATTTACACAATGCATAGCCTTGGGGTTTTTGTCTCCTCTGCTAAAGTAGTTCATATCACAGTACTTCTATAAGGCGTAAAGAAAAAGATGATGATGCATTTTCTCCAGTCATTGATAAGAGGGTATTAGCAAAATTAAACTGCTTGGTTTAGAATTAGAAAGCAATTTGCATGCCATGAATTATTTGGATAGCACAATTCAGATCTTTGTGTACTTGGCTGTTCAATTTCCACTGGTAGTCTTTTGGCACTGTTTCCATTGTCATTCTTTATTTATAGTGTATATTTTCTTCTGATTTTTAGAAATTGAATTGTAAGCATACTATATATACATATAATTTTGTGTTCGATTCTTTCATTTACATATTGTACATATTTTTCATCTTGGTACAATCTGGTATTTCTGTATAATATTCAAGTCAGTGTATTTGCTATTGTCTTGATAGTATCCCATTTATAAACATGAGGCCTATTTAATTAATTTTTATTTTTTGAATATCAATTGAACTCATGGGTACACTCTATCACTAAGCTGAATCCCACCTCTTTTTATGTTCTCTTTTGAGGCAGGGTCTCACTAAATTGCCCAGGCTGGTCTTGAACTTGAAGATCCTCCTAGCCTCAGCCTCCAAGCAACTGGGATTTTTGTCAGGTGCCACCATGACTAGATCATTTCACTCTTTTTCAAAAAAGAAACTTTGAAGTTATAGGCAGTGTTCTGAATACAATAATATTCTGCCACAGTTTTCTTTTTTCAATGATGAGGAAATATTGTTTTGAATCTAATGTTTCAAATTTGATGCACTATAATTTGAAAGGAAAATAAGTTTGAAACGACCATTGAAATGATAAATTTATATTGAAATGAAAGGTCTCATTAATTCGTAAGAATACAAAATAAATGAAAAGCAAATTACCTCTCACTTTTGAAGTTTATTTGGGGGATCAGAATTTCTTTGATCAGTCTCTGTATTATTTCATTTTTTCAAAAGAAAAATGATAATTGTGTGATGATTAAATGAGAAATTAAAAGTCATGGTTTTTTTATTCCAAAGAAAATTTTGAAAGCCTATTTAGGAATTATTTGATATTGAAGTTCCCGTAGTGTTAGTTATAAATGGAACCTCGAGATTTCTCAAAATTGTACAAAGAATTAGTGGAGTCTAAAGGGGGAGTTGATTATATCTGTGGATTTCTTGGGATGTTTCATTTCAGGTAGACCCAAACCACAGCACCACGCGTGCCACACCTGGAGGCGGATTCTCCAGCCCTGCCCTGTCTTGGGCAGGACTGGAGAACCTGGAGCTTGTGGCCGGCGAAGGGCCCCAACAGGGAGCGGACTCGGTCCAGCGTTCCCGCCCTGGCGGACCTCCTCAAGCAGCCGGGGTCAGGCTCGGGCTGGGCTCAGCAGGCTCCCGGGAAGCCATGAACCCCTCCTGGCGCGCCGCGGACAGTGGGGCCGCTGCCAGGCGGCTGCTCCTCGGGGCTGCGACGGCAGCAAAGGGGCTTCGGGAAGATCTGAGGGGCGCGGCCGCTCGGCCTTGGAAGGGCCTGTCCCGGACCCCGAAGCAGGAAGGACCTCGAGAGGAGGAGGTGGAGGCTGCAGGACACGAGTTCCGTAAGTCCTGGGACAAGGTCTCATGTGGTGCAGACCCTCCTGATGGCCAGTGGGGTGGTCTGCGGCCAAAAGACTTGAGAGCATACCCAGTGCAGCGGCCATGAGGCGAGAAACAAGCCCGTGCGGGGATTTCAGCCTTAAAAGACTCTCAAGTCCATCCTCCAACACTGAGCCCCTTGCTGGCTGGTTTTCAGCTTTGGAATCCTACCCCACCCAAGTTTTGAGTCACAGTTCCCCACCCTCATGGTGGGTGGTAGGAAAGTATTACTTTCCAATTTAAGGAGAAGCCTATTTAAAGAAATGATTAAGCCCTTTTGCAAATAAGAGTTTCATGTTATCTTATATCCTGACTTAGGCACTGATTTCTGTGTGACCTAAGTCACTTAATCTTCTTGCACTTAAGGTTTAAAGCATGGAGCAGATTATCTTTGCCTTGAGAATAACATATAGCATAAAATGAGGCACACTTTTGAAGGGTCTTCAGAAGTTAAAAGTGATTTGAGTCTGTTAACAAGAGCACACCACATACTGGCAGGGATGGCCTCATTTCCTAAAGGCCAGCCTTGGAAGCTCTGTGCCAATTCCTTAATATAATATGCAAGTAGTTCATTCATTCAATCATTTATTCTAGAAATATTTTCGAGGGCCTACTATTTGCTAGACATGTTGTAGATGTGGGAATGCAGAGAACAAGACAACCCCTCACTGGGCGTGGTGATGCTCACCTATAATCCCAGCAGCTCTGGAGGCTGAGACAAGATCAGGAGTTCAAAGCCAGCCTCTGCAATGCCAAGGCCCAAAGCAATGGCAAGGTCTCACTAATGAGCTCCTGTCTCTAAATGAAATACAAAATAGGGCTGGGGATGTGGCTCAGTGGTCGAGTGCCCCTGAGTTCAATCTCCGGTACCAAAAAAAAAAAAAAAAAAAAAGACAACCCCTCTTCTGACTAAGCTCACATTCTTTTGTGGTGGTGAAGGGATAATAGGTAAGTAAGGAAATAAAAAACAGCAAAATAATATAAGGGATGGGTCTAAGTGCTAGAAGCCTATGAAACAGAGTGATGTGACTGAGCCAGGGGCACAGAAGGACTTTAGATTTGATGACCTAGGCAGAGAGGACATTTGGGCAAATACTTAGATGACAGGAAGTAGCTAGCCATGGAAATTTCAGGTAGGAAAGCATAATAAGCAAATGATGAAGAAGATTGAAATTATTATGTTCCAAAAAGAGGAAAATGACCAGCATTGCTGGAACATATGAGGTGGGGGGACTCTGGCTCTTTCTGGTCTCTATTTCTTGATTGCTGTGAGGAAAACAGGCCTTTACTACCATGTACTCCTGCTATGATATACTGTGTTACCATGGGACCAAAGTAACAGGACCAGGTGACTGTGGACTGAAACCTCTGAAACTGTGAGCCAAAATAAACCTTTCCTCCTTTTGATTATCTCAGGTATTTTGTCATAGTAATGGAAAGCTGACTAATACTGGTTAGTAGGGAGAACCAGTTCATGCAAGGTCTTAATGCCCTGAGAAAGAGACTTCAAGTTGATCTTGTCAGTATTTCTTTGTAAGTCTTAGCCTTTCAAATATATGTATATTGGTATCTCACTGTGGTTTTAGTTGGCATTTCCCTTTTCCATTGAAGTCTTTTCTCTATTTCTAATTGGACTGTTGTTTTCTTACTGTTGAATTTTGAGAGTTATTTATACATTCTGGGTATAGGTCAGTTGTCAGATATGGGATTTGCAAATATATTCCTCTAGAATGTAATTTGCCTTTTTTATTATCTTAATAGTGTTATTTGTAAAGTGAAAGTTTTATGGTCGGTAAAGTCCAATGTCAATTTTATCTCTTATTGTCATGTGATTCCTAACATTTGTTGAAAGTATTAACTTTTCTCCATTGTCAAAACTTATAAACCCTTGTCAAAAATCAGTTGGTCATATCTGGGCATCTATTTCTAGATTCTGTATTTTATTTTGTTGATCTGTATGTCTCTTTTCCAATACCCTACTGTATTGATTATTGTAGATTTAAAAAAACATTGAGTACCGCCACAGGTGACTTAATCATTCAGGGTCACTCAGGTGAATTGAGCTGGCACTAAAAAATCACACAGACACAGAAAGTACCTTTTTCTTGGGGTTCAGTGACAGGTCCTTTGCCCCAGTTCCTATAAGGGAGGTAAGAGAGGCTGGCAAAAGAGCCAGAGCACGCCTGAAACCATCCTATATATTGAGGGGAAGACACTTGAGAAAGTTCCACCCAAATGAGGTAAGTGATTAGGTTTCAGGGGGGTGTAGTCCAATCCCATTGAGTGACGTCCACTCCCGGAGCTGTAATTCCTTGCTAAGCGATGGTGAGGTCCACCTGCTTTCAAGCCACAGTGGAAGCCAGTTCCACACCTCCATCTCTCAAGGCTAGGGGTACGTGCTTAGCTCCTAAGTGCTCAGCTCCTGTTCATGCCAGCCCCAGATAATCAAGTACTATGATGCCTCTAACTTAATTCTTCTTTTTCAAAATTGTTTGGGCCACTCAAAATTGTTTTGTGCCTCTCTGTATAAACTTTGGAAGCAGTTTGTCTGTAACTACAAAATGGCATTGCATTAAATTTATAGATCAATTTGGGGAGAATTGACATCTGATTTTGAATCTTCCAATCCATGAATCCATGATTTACCTTTTCATCTATTTAGTCTTTGATTTCTTTCATTGACCTTTTGTATTTCTGTAGTATTCAGAAACTGTATGTTGGATTTATATGCAAGTACTTTTATTTTTTATTTTTTGATCAATTATAAATTGGTTTTATTTATTTATTTATTTATACTGAGGATTGAACCCAGGGGCACTTTACCACTGAGCTGCATTCCCAACCCTTTTTATTTTTTATTTTGAGACAGGGCCTCACTAAGTTGCTGAGCTGACCTCAAATTTGGCAATCCTGCTTCAGCCTCCCAAGTCACTGGGATTAGAGGTGTATGCCAGCACACCTAGCATAAATTGTGTCTTTAAAATTTTGGCTTTATTTGCTGATTGTCAGTATATAGAAATATAATTGATATTTATGTGTTGACTTTGTATAGTGCAACCTTGCTAAACTAACTATAGCTGTTTTGTATATTCCTTTGAACTTTATGTGTGACAATCAAGTTATCTGAAACTATAGTAGAGAGAGTTTTATTTCTTTCTAATCTATATGCCTTTTTATTTACCTATACCAAATTTTTTTAAAGGGAGTGAAGAGAGTAGAAATCTTTTTTTATTCCTAATCTCAGAGACAAAGAAAATGTTCAGACTTTTATGATTAATTGTGATACTGACTGTCAGTTTTTTTGTAATTCTCCTTTATCAGGTTGAAAAAGTTTCCATTTATTCCAGATTAGCTGAGAAGATTTTGGTTTGTTTTGCTTAAAAAATTTTTTAATCATGAATGGATGTTGAATTTTTTAAAATATATTTTTTCCTCAGTTAATATGGTCATGTAGTTTTCCTTAGGCTGTTAATATGAGATATTACATAATAGATTTACAAATATTGAGTATATTCTTAGGATAAGCCCCACTTGATCATCATGTATTATACTTTTTTATGTATCATTTGATTTGATTTGCTTATTTTTTGAGAAGTGTTGTATACTGTGTTCATGGGGGTTTTAGAATCAAGGCAATGCTGCCTCTTAAAATGACTTGGGAAGTGTTTCTTCTTCTGTTTTCTAAAAGAGATTATATAGATTAGATGTTATTTTTTTAAAATATTTTGCTTTCTAGTTGTAATTGGACACAATACCTTTATTTTATTTATTTTTATGTGGTGCTGAGGATTGAACCCAGGGTCTCGCACGTGCTAGGTGAGTGCTCTACCGCTGAGCTACAACCCCAGCCCCTAGATTAGGTGTTATTCTTTAAACATTTGATAAAATCACCAATGAAACCACATGAACATGGAGATTTCTATTGTGGAATATTTTAAACTACAAATCTAATTTCTTTAATAGTTACAGGGTTATTCAGGCTATCTATGTAATCTTGAGTGAATTTTAGTATGTTATATTTAAAAAATTATTCCATTTCATCTGAAGTTATTCCATTTCATTGTTTGATTTATGTGGATAGAGCTGTTTGTAGTAGTCCCTTATGGTCCTTTAAATGTCTGTGGGTTCTCTAGTGCTATACCTTCTTTTATTGCTGATATTGGTAATTTATGTCTCCCCTCTTTTTTCTTAGTCAGTCTGGCTAGGTGCTTATTGGTTCATTGATGTTTTCAAATAACTATCTTTTGTTTTCCTTGATTATTGTTTATTATTTTTCTGTTTTCAATTCCATTGATTATTGCTTTGACCCTCTGTCCTCATATTTTACCTTTGTTACATTTCTTCTTTCTGCTTGCTTTAGGTGTTTATTTTGCCCTTCTCCTTTTACTTTCTTAAGGTGTTAATTTACTTACTTTTTTTCTAACACAATCATGTTAATGCTATAAATTTCCCTCTAAGTCCTACTTTAACTGCATCCCACACATTTTGACATATTTTATTTAATTTTCATTCAGTTCAAAATAGTTTCTAATTTCCCTTGGGAATTTTTTTTTTAATCCATGGTTCAATTGAAAAACAAGAAGAAGAAGAAGAAGAAAAGATTTGAGGGGCTGGGGATGTGGCTCAAGCGGTAGCACGCTCGCCTGGCATGCGTGCGGCCCGGGTTCGATCCTCAACACCACATACAAACAAAGATGTTGTGTCCACCGAAAACTAAAATAAATAAATAAATATTTAAAAAAAAATTAAACAAAAAAAAAAAAAAGAAAAGATTTGATAATGTGAGGCCTACATTCCCTAGCAAGCAATATTCTTCTGGAATTGGGTAGTATTTACCTAAACCATACACCCACCACCCACCCTCTCATCCATCCAACAAATATTTATTGAACACCTACTAGCACTAAGTACTTTCTCACGAAATTTGTATTCTGGAGAAAGAAACAAAACAATGAACAAGTGAACAAACATGATGTCAACTAATGTTAAGTGATATGAAGAAAATGAAGTAGGGCATGGGGTAGAGAGTGAGTGACAGGAGAAAGAGGATTGTATGGTCAGATATGAGTTTTCACAGAGAGTATCATTTGAGTAGGGGCCTGAATGAAATGAGGGAGGGAGCCTCAACTTGTTTTGTAGTTCAGCAAGGACCCTCTCCTCTCCTGACCCTCTGTCCTCATACTTGCCCAGCTCCTGAAGACATTGGAGTTTTGACCTCCAAAGGATTAAATGATCATTTAACCTTTCCTTGATGTTATACATTGCAACTGAAAAAGCACATATTGTAAGATATCCCTACAAATATTAAGTAGCTAAGCTGAAAAATTGGTGTGTTTATGATGGCTGGGTCATTTTCCCAACTCTGTCACCTATTAGCTGAAGGTTATCAGTGGTGTGCTGGTAAATGTTTGACTATCAGCTCTCTGGGCTTGAAAAGGGAGAAGTCCTTTTGTAGCACTTTCCAATTTCCTTTGTGTAATACTTCAACCCACCTGATTCAACGTACAATATGATATCACTGAACACAGAATTGGGAATATGCAATCAATTCTTTTAAATCTGTAGAAGATAGCTCCTGCATACCCCGAAAGTAGGTTTTATGATCCTCATTTCATAAATTAGGATACTAAAATTCAGAATTGTTACAAGATTACATAATTAGTAAATTGTGAACAAGGCATTTTGAACATCTTGAGCTCCCAAAGGTTCTGATGTAATTGGCTTGGGCTGAGAACCTGATATACATTTCTTGTTATTTTCTTTGTGAAGCCAGAGCTGAGAACTATTGAGTTAATGAATCAAGAGTCTTTTATGGTGCTCCCTACTGTTTTAGGAAGCAATCTAAAATTTGTTTTTCTTATAGATTGTGGTAGAAAAGGAAAAAGATATTCCATTTCAGGTACAAAAGAGAATAGAATCCGTGTGTCATATTTCAGGACACAATAATGTCTTCATTTGCTTTGGATCATACCAAAGAGGAACAAGGACCTGGAAGTTGAACTTGTGTCCCATTATTTTAATACACAGGGGCAAAGAGCTAAGGCCAGAGCTGTGTGGGAACCAGGAGAGGGAACTAAGAGAAGTCCAGCCTAGCTGGCAGAGTGCATTAGCTAAAGCATACGACAGACGTGGGTGATCTGATTCTCCAATTCAGCAGTCTCCCCCCAGACTCATACCCTGGACATGTGGGGTGTTTGAAAGCTTGGGAATTTGATTCTGATTTCCTGGGACAGTTTAAACACTAATTATCTTTAAGACATGGGCAAGTGACTTAATGTTTAAATCTGTTTGAAAACTTCATCTGTAAGATGGGGATGAAAGTTTCTAGTCCATCAGATCATTTATTGTATAAAAAACTTATCACATTCCAACATTTGTAGGTAAAGCAGAGGAGGAAGAGCCAGTAACTGGAATTCAACAAGTAGTTTGACAGGAGAAAACATGTTACAAGGAGACTGTGGTCTTTGGTGTCAACGTCAGCCAAGGGTTCAGTGTACTTGATAGAGAAGTCGTGATTGGATTTTGGCAAGATGGAGTGACTTCATAAGAGCAATTTCAGTGGAGTGGAGGGGGAAAAATGATTACCTTAGATGAGATTGTGAGATAAATAAATTGAGAGAGCAATTAGACAACACTTCCAAGAAGTGTTGAAAATTTTCCAAGTTGAAAATGAAGGAATGTGAACTCAGGGAGGGTTGAATGTTCTCTCTGATATGTGGATGCTATCCCATAGTAAGGGAGGTAGGGAGAGGAAGTATAGAAATTCAGTGGATTAGACAATGGGAATGAACAGAAGGGAGGGGAGATGAGAAAAGGAAAGACAGTAGAATGAATCAGATGTAACTTTTCTATGCTCATGTATGAATACATGACCAGTGTAACTCCATATCATGTACAACCATAAGAATGAGATCAAAATTGTAACGGGTTGCACTCCAGGTATGTATAATATGTCAAAATACACACTACTGTCATGAATATCAAAAAACAAAAAATAAAAAAATGAATAAAGCAAAGGACTTGACAGAGAGAGTTCATCCCTTTTTGACTTTCTACCTTCTGCTATGTGAGGACATAGCATTTACAACAGGTGCCATCTTAGAAGCAGAGAGCAGCCCTCATCTGACAACTGAATCTGCTGGCACCTTGGGTCTTGGACTTTTCTGTCTATAGAACTGTGAGAAATAAATTTCTGTTCTTTATAAATCACCCAGTCTCAGATATTTTGTTATAATGACAGAAATAGACAGATATCATGAAATCTAAACAGAATAAGGAAAGAAGGAAGGACCTGGTGATGAATAATATGAACAAATGGTAGAAACAGTAGCTAGGAGGACTTGATTAGGTTGCAGAATTTCTGGACTTGATGAATTGTAGCAGGTGAGTGAATGGAAGAGAAATAGTGGTCAGAGAATGGGATTCTTGAAGTGAAGATATCAAAGGTAGTATAGTTTGATGATTAGGTCAAGAGTGTGTCCCTGAAATTTGATGCTTGAGGTCGGATGGGAGAGGTAAGGAACTTAGTTCGGGGACTAAGTGGCCAGGGTGTTGGACTAGTCATCTATAAGGATGTTGAAGTTGTCTAGTAAAATGAATAGAGTAGGGATAAGGAAGCAAGTGAGTGATCAGTGATAGAAAGAACGAACACGTAAATCTATACTCAAAGTGACAAAGTACCATAGACTGGCAGCTTAAACTTCGGAAGTTTATTTTCTTACACATTTGGAGACTAGAAGTCAAAGATCACTGTGTCAGCAGGTTGGTTTCCTCTCAGGCCTCCTCTCGACTTGTAGATTGCCTCCTTCTCCCTGTCTTTTGATGATCTTACCTCTATGTGTGTCTGTGTCCCAATCATCTCTTATTATAGGGACATCAGTCAGATCAGGTTAGAACCCACCTGTGTAGCCTCATTTTATATTTATTACCTCTTTAAAGGCTTCATCTCCAATTACAGCCACATACTGAAGTACTAGGGGTCAGGGTTCTAACACAGGAATTTTGGAAGGACACAGTTCAACCCAAAATAGTATCTTCCATGAAGATATTCCTTGGCCTTTGAGTAGACTTGGCAGTGTTCTGAAGGGTCTCTCTCTCTCTCTCTCTCTCTCTTTTTTTTTTTTTTTGAGATGGTCTATTATTGGTTCTGATTAACTCAACTCTGATTTTATCCCCCAGGTTTGGGGCTTTCCATTCAGAGTCCTGTAGCTCCCCACCATGACAAAAACCTCAACAACAACAACCAAAAAAAAAAAAAAAATCCCAGAATTTTCTCTGTACTAGTTAATAAATCCTACCATCTGAATGTGTATGTATGTGATATGTAATGTTTACAATAGGTGTGAATCTACTTTATGTCCTTTCATATAAATGAGAACAAAATGCATTCATTCATGCTAGCCTTTGTGTATCTTTATATAATGGGCTACATTTTAAGGTTTTGTTCCTGAGATCAGGCATCTATACAGAATTCTGCAGACAACAGTTTTATCTTTGTAAGCTATAAGAGCATTTGGACTCCTCCCCATCTAATGTTCTACAAACATTTTACAAATGATGTCCCATGGGAAGTCTGTGGCCACCCTGTGAGCTCCTAAGCCACATATCACATTACTGACTTCAGGGTGGTCCTCATGAATAATGTTTTCTTTGAGGCCAGGAACAATGACAAGGCTGTGAAAACACAGTATGAGGAGAAGGTGGAGTCTTGAAACTACAACTTCATAAAATACTGAAATAAAGTTTCCATTTCCTAAAAAGCAGAATGTGAAAGACTCAAGCTGTTATTTCAAGTGTTTAGAGTTATAAGCTTTGCCACATGACATGTGATTTCTCTGTGGCCTCCTTCAATTCCCTTGGTCATGCTTGCTTGCTTTCTTTCAGTACTGCCAAAAGAGAGAAGCTTTCAGAATGCTGCTAAAAGCAATAATTTGGATCTTATGGAAAAGCTGTTTGAAAAGAAGGTTAACATTAATGCTGTGAACAATGTGAGTAGAAGTCACAAATATGACAAGTGATTATTCTAAGTGGTGGCTTGGGTTTACACAGGTCAGATGAAATAATAATAAAAATTTAAAAGATTAGGCTGGCTGAGATTTGGGAGCTCTCCTTTGTTGGGAATTCCAAAGTATTTAAGCTAAAGGTAAAATCAAGCAGTAGAAAAGGCTCTCGATGTTTTATGATCTTATGAGAGGAGGAATGCACAGAGTCTTTATGCACATCTGAGCAAAGTCTTTGGGTAGGCAGTGGAACCCACTGTCAGGGTTATGGGCCTGGATTTGGTCCTAGACTGTTCCCTGTGGATCATTTTGACCTCACATTTTACAAAGGCAGAACATCTTTTGTTACACAGTCTGGGTTGTTTCTCTTCAGCAAGGTCCTTTGTGGTTGGGTTTCCAGTTTAAAATCCAAAGGAGTATGTGGATTTTTATTGTACTGCTTTTGAAATATAGAGCATTGACATATTGGGCAATGAGACCTTTTCTGAAAACCTGCTCTTCCTTGCTTGTTCTTCAAGCGCCTAGGTTTGGGGATAGAAGTCCACTGTCAGAAGCATGGTTTCCCTATAGCTTACTTTTATGAAGATTTCTTGACAGCCTCTCAATCCAATATATATCAAAAACAAACAGGTTTGGGGCTGTATCAATTGCTTAAGACAATTATTGGAGCTCAATGAAGAATAAGTTTCTAGGCCCTTACTTGTCCAGGCCTTTCTTCTCCTTCTACTGCTGGAAGCCATTCATGACCCATATGTGAACTGAGCCATGTGTGAACTGAGCAATGTTGAAGCTATTAGGCAGGGAAGCCAATTTGTAGGAACTCCCAGGTGGAACTCCCTGGTTTGAGAAAGCCTACTTCAGGTTGGCACCCTGTTCTAGCGCACCGCTCAAGTTCTAGCATAGGCCCAGAGATGGGAATGACTTGCTGAAGCCAGAGAGCCTCCTGGAGATGGGTGTGGCTTGCCAAATGCCAATCAATCTGTTTACTGCTATACCCCTGCCCTGGCTAGCAGCAAGCACTGAACCAAGACTCCTCCCTCTGAAACCTTCTCCCTGCCTTTCATGTACTCCCCCTTAAATAAAGAATCAGGGCCTTGTTCAGTTCCAGCTCCCATCAGGACTGGAAGACCCATCAGACACTCTTCTTTTTTATATCTAATTTCTGGCTCTGTCTTTATTTCTTACAGACCATTTCAGGCTTTTTATTTCCCAGGCGGCTCACACGTCCTGAACAGGAACCTGCCCTGTCAGGGTACTGATACCTCATATCCTTCTCCTTTTTCTCCTTCTTTTCCTTCTCCTTCTCCTCTTCCTCCTTCTCCTCTCCCTCTTTCTCCTCTTCCTTCTTTTCTTTTTTAACCAGGGATTGAACCCCCAGGGTGCTTAACCACTGAGCCACATCTCCAGCCCTGTTTTTTATTTTGTATTTTGAGATGGGGTTTTGCTAAGTTGCTCAACGCCTCACTAAGTTGCTGAGACTGGCTTTGAACTTAAGAGCCTTCTGCTTCAACCTCCCAAACCGCTGGGATTACAGTAAACATTAGTTTTACTCAGCCATATAGGAGAATGAAATTATGTCATTTGCAAGAAAATGGGTGGAACTTGAGAACATTATGTTAAACAAAATAAACCAAACTTAGAATGTCAAGGGTCATATGTTTTCGCTTATATGTGGAAGCTCGAGGGCAAAAAGAAAAAATAGAAAAAAGAAAAGGTGGGGAGAGACCTCATGAAAATAGGAGACCAGTAGTGTAGAGGAAAGGGTCCATGGGATGGAAAAGGGGAGGCACAGGGGAATGAAATTGACCAAATTATATTGTTATAATGTATGCACATACAAGTATATAACAACAAATTCCACTATTGTGTGTAATCACAATGCACTAATGAAAAAGAAGGGTAAGAGATATGTCCTACTGGAAGGAAGTTAAGTCACTGGGAGTATGCCAGTTTTGCCATTTCTCTCTATCTTTGCTTCTGGGCCATCTTCAAATGAGTACCTTTGTTCCACCATGTACTCCCTGCCATGATGTTCTTCCTCCCATTGGACCCAAAAACAATGAAGCCAAGTGGCCATGGGTTGAAACCATAAGCCAAAATAAATCTTTCCTTTTTATAAGTTATCTCAGATATTTTGTTGCAGTGATGGAAATCTGACTAACATATTCTCAGCAGAAAAAAAAATCTCATTATTAATGATTGCATACAAGGAAAAATACAACTTTTACTGTTCAAATACAATCTGTTATATTGGTGTATCCTTCAGGGGATTGCCAAATTCTCTATCATCTAATAATAACAGGAGTTTTCTGAACACAGTTCTTATAACTTTTGTAGCAAAAAGTGGAGCTAAATATCCAAATACTCAACAGAAAATTACAGCCATTCAAGAAACAGGTATCCAGAAAAAAAGTTAAATAATGATCAGATGACCAAGAACACAAATTATGTTTCCTCAGATGAACCGCACAGCCTTGCATTTTGCAGTGGGGGGAAATCATTTATCTGCGGTGGATTTCTTACTGAATCACAAGGCCAGGGTTGACATTGCTGATAAGGTAAGTTCATCTTCCATTGGTAGAATGAATTATAGTATAACCAGTGTATAAGGAGAATCTGATCACTCCAATCTGATCATCTTTCATGCCCACAAAGTATTTCCATTAACACATTTTGAAGAGATCTTTGTATTTGATGATTAAATTGTTTACCATTATCTCAAGGACTTGGGCTTTACTTATTTTCCCATATTGACTTTATGGCCAATAGCATGCATTTGCAAGAGTATGATAATTGTCTAGAGCATAATCTGGCACTTGGAAGACAGAAACTAACTGGCCCCAGGAAAATAAATCTAGATTTTACCCTTTGGACTCTGATGATAAATAAAACTTACTAAATACATACTATGTACCAGGCACAAAGTAGTAGGACTTTAGTATTTAATGCTGCTTCCTAGTGAACCTTATGATAAAAGTGTTGTAATACTCAATTTACAGGTGAGGAGACTGAGACACAGATTAAATATCTTGCCCCCCAAAATTATACCTGAGAAGGAGTGAAGGCAGGATTTAAACCCAATTTGTCTGATCTCAGAGACCATGCTGTTAGCTACAAGTCAGCTTAACTACTTGTCTGCCTAGATTTCAAAACCCACCCTGAGGATTTTCACCTTCGTTTAATGCTTTATCAGGGCATAAGGAAATCAGCTATAGAGACTCAATATTATGTTTAGCATCTCTAATTATGGAAGAATATGATAGACTTATTTGAAAATTCTTTAATCTTAATTAATTCCGTGGACCATGGTTCTTAAATTTAAACTGTTCAGAAGAATCTCCCAGAGCTATTTTATCTTCTCTAGTCTGGGACTCCCTAGAGGGTAAGGCTCAGCATGGCTTTACCTTCATATCTCACAGGGGTTGTGTGTGGGCTTTACTTATTTTCCCATATTGACTTTATGTGTGCTTAGTAAATGTTTGGAAGATAAATGGAGTCAGATGTACCAGTTAGTTGGTTTTTGTTAATCATCATACACAAGATGTAGACTTGATGATGGTGGGAGTTTCTCTTTGTGTCACCAGTGGGGCACATCCCTCTCTAGTTTATTGCTATGATATTGGTGGGCAAGTTGATTGCTATGTAAGAAAATCAGAATTAAAAATTACCACTGAAAGCACTCTGACTTTGCAAATATGTTTACTTGTATTAGTGGCTATGGTAACTAAGAGATGTGTCCTTCAGTCTAGAAATTGTAATTTGATTATTTTGCATATTACTTAACCTGCAAATGATGCATTGGTAATAGATCAGTCATTGAAAATCTGATATAATATTTTTATTTTACTTTAATTTTAAAATTAGCATGCTGTACAATTAGCTTTCTTTTTAGTGTACAGTTCTATAAATTTTAATACGTGTACAGATTCATGTAACCACCACAATCAATCTGAAGGTCAAAGTGGCTGGGCATGTAGTTCAGTGGTAGAATGTGATGAACATGCACAAGGCCCTGGCTTCAATCCCCAGCACCACAAAAAATTCAGACAGTTGCAACATCCATAAATTTCCCTCATGCTGCCTCTTTGTAGCCAAACCACTCTTAAGGATATGCCCTTGAGAATGTCACATAAATGATATCGTACAGTATATTACCTTTTAAACCAGCTTCTTTCATTCTGTAAAATAACTGAAGTTCGTTCATATTGTTGCATGTGTCAAGAACTCCTCCTTTTTATTGCTAAATATTATTCCAGTTTAAGGATATGGCAGAGGTTTATCCACTCACCATTTGGAGGACATTAGGGTTATTTCTAGTTTTTAGCTATTATAATTAATGCTGCTACAGGTATTCATGTATAAGAATTTGTTTATGCCTAGGTTTTCATTTCTCTAATATAAATACCCAAGAGTGAGACTATTGGGCTAAGTACTATGTATATGCATAACTTAACAAGGAGCTGCCAGCCTATTCATTAGGTTGGCTGTGCCATTTTCATTCTCACCAGCCAGGCAGAAGAGTTTCACTTATTCTACATCCTCATTGGAATTGCCATCCCCCCGCCTTAATTTTTAGCAACTCTCACAGTTATGTAGGCATCTCATTGCAGTTTTAATTTGCATTTCTCTAGTGGCTAATGGTATGTGGCATCTTTCATATGTTATTTGCCATTTTCATATCTTCCTTGGGGAAGCCTGTTCAGATTGTCTTCCACCTGTGGTGCTGGGGGGTGGGGACCCAGGGCCAAATAAGCACTACCACTGAGCAACATTTCCAGCCAGATCTTTTGAACATTTCTAAAAATCAAATTGTTTTCTTATTGTGGAATTTTATAAAAATATATATTATAAACAGGTGAACCATTTAACCTAGGACAACCAAACTTGGGGAGTCCAGTGGGGTTTGTGGATGGATCATTCTTGCCTTGTATGAAATGAATCTGAACAAATATTTCTTGTAGCATACCAATCCTTTGTTAGGTATGTGATTTGCATTATCTTATCACTCTATAGCTTGTGTTTTCAGTGTTTTTCCCAGAGCAAATTTTTTTAATTTTGATGAAATACAATGTACCTATTTTTAAAAATGAATCCTGATATTGGAGTTATATGTAAAGATGATTTGCCTAAGTTAAGGTTATTAAGATTTTCTCATTTTTTTTCTAAAAATTTTACAGTCTTGTATTTTATTTTCATTTATTTATTTTAGGTGTAGATGGACACAACACAATGCCTTTATTTTTATGTGGTGCTGAGAATCGAACCCGGGTCCTGCCCATGCTAGGCGAGCGCTCACAATCCCAGCCCTCGTATTTTACATTTAGATCTATAGTTGCTGTGTCCTTCAAAGTTTATATGTTGGAAATCTATTCCCCAATGCAACATTATTGGAAGTTCATTAGTGCATAGGGCTCTGCCCTCATGAATGAATTAATGCTGTTATCTCAGGAGAGCATTCTGAATAAAAGAACAAATTTGGACCATCTTCCCCACCTCCCCTCATTCATGTAATGCCTTCTTCTACTTTATGATGTAGCTAGTAGGCCCTCACCAGATAGGTCCATCCATCTTGGGCTTCCCAGCCTTCAGAACCATGAGTCAAATATATTTCTATTCATTATAATTACCCAGTCTGTGATATTCTGTTATAGCAACACAAAACAGACTAAGACAATGGTTCATTCTGAATTAATTTTAGTTCAGGGTAGAAATAGGTTGTGATTTTTTTTTCTTTCTTTTTGCACATCAACAATCACTTTTTAAAAGTCATTTCATTTTTAAAAACCTTTTTAGTTCTGTTCAGATATGTCCCAGGAACCAGTCTGATACTGGCAGTGGTCAACACATAAATCAGTTCTTTAAGTCTTTGTCTAATGTTAAGAGTTCATCCATGTACAGTTCAGGAGCAAGCCCAGGAGTGTATACCCAACCTCATAGGATTCTTTTCTTTTCTTTTTCTTTTTTAAAAATTTTTATTCTAATTTGTTATACATGACAGCAGAATACATTACAATTCATATTACACATATAGAGTACAATTTTTCATCTCTGGTTATATACAAAGTATATTCATACCATTCTTGTCTCTATACATGTACTTAGGGTAATGATGTCCATCTCATTCCACCATTTTTTTTTTACTCCCATGCCCCCTCCCTTCCCATTCCACCCCTTTGCCCTGTCTAGAGTTCATCAGCTTTTTCCTCTCCATGATCATCTCCCCCACATTTCTCAGCCTCCCAGAGCTTGCAGGACCAGAAAAGTACAAAGAAGCAAAGAATTTTCCCCACCTTCTTTATTCATTAGAGGCTCCCTCTGCTCCTTAGACTAGAAAGAAGGGCTTCTTTTGGAACTCTTTCTGTCCTTGTATAGTTTCGTGGTTGGTGCTGCCTCAAATCCAAGTTGGAAGATATGGAAGGAAGAAGATAAACTCACAAATCTTGAGTTCTGGTTTCCTTTCCTAAGCTACCTGCAACCATTTACTTTTCAGAGTCTTCAGATAGCTGAATATTATTCAGAGTCTTTAGTTGCATTTGGTAGGAGAGACAGGGTGGAGTGCATTTGCTCTATTTTAACCATAACCATAACCCAAAATCTTCAACCTGATATTAAAGTAGACAAAATCATACAACAAACACCTGTGAATCCATGGCCTGGATTGAATGCATCTTTTCTCCAAGCTAGCATAGCTGAGGATTGCCAAATTTCAAATGTATTAAATTCAGGTTTGGCTTATGTCAGAGTGTAAGCAAATTATTCCTGAAATGATGGAGAGATGTTTTTACCAACTTGTTCTTTTCAAGGCTTTCTAAGCATATATTTGTGTTACCCCATATCTGAAGCATGTCTCTAATTAACATCAGCTTCTATCAATGTTGCCTTGTAAATTGAAATGCTATCAGATGGGAAATTCCTTATGTATCTCTGGTGCCAGCCTTAGAAATTTCACCAAAGATTTTTGTAATGAATTTTATCATTCACAGAGATGTTGGTACATAACTGATAAAATATTTATCATCATAATGCAAGTACTACCGTGGTTTTGTCATTTCTGGCAACTGTCTTATCTGAGTGATAAGCCCCCAATTTGATTTGGCTGATCTGTCTTCAAAGTTTCAACACCCATTTGCAAAGAACTAACAATTGAAACCCTTCACCTTCAATGTGTATTCAGTGTCTATCATAAGTCTTAATGCCAGTTACTGGGGATTCAACCAGAAGCATGGCCACCACCTGGGAATGTTAGAAATGAGGAATTTCAGGTCCCAAGCCAGATCTTCTGAATCAGAATCCCTAATTTAAAAAGATTACCCAATGCCAGGTGCAGTGGTGATGTCTGTAATCCCACTGACTCAGGAGACTGAGGCAGGAAGATTGCAAATCAAAGGCCAGCCTCAGCAATTTAGTGAGACTCTCAGAAACTTAGAAAGAACCTGTCTCAAAGTAAAAAAATTGAAAAAGAACTGGAGATGTGGCTCAGTGCTAAGGCACCCTGGGATCAATCCCCAATACCAAAAGAGGGGAAAAAGATCCCCAGATGATTGTATTTGGTATGAGATATAGTCCTGGTTTTGAGTCTCCTGTTATCTATCTGGGGAGCAAGGACAGAGACTATAATATATGAGTACTATGCAAGGTATTGCATGCTTAGGGTCAAATGCATGACCCCATCACTGAGGACCTCCAGAGTCAAAGTGGGTAGCATCCCCAAGTTTTGAGAAGTGACAGACCAGATAAAGGGAGGCCTAAGGTGCTTAGAAGATGACTAGCATCTGCTTTCTGAGTTGCTTCTCTGGGAAGCTCTTAAAGTTTAAGTGTTCCCCAGAGGAAATTACTAACCTCACCTATGACCAGACTGGTAATGCAGATAACTTGTCAGTGACTGGCATTTTGTACTTTCCAGAGCATGTGAGGCAACTGTGAGTGTAATTCATGACACATACTCTTAAGCATGCCAGTTGCATAGCCGAAGACTTTGTTTTAGGAAAGTTCTTCTGTGGGAATTTACGTCTCTGTGTAGTGATTCATTGCCTCAGAGGAACAATGGCTCCACTCAGAATTTGTGGTTTCAGAGATTCCATTCCCAGCTTTTAGATTTTATAATCAGCACTTGGAATTTTTAAATGTTGGCTGTTCAAGATTAGGAATGACCTCTTAGGGAAGAAATAGAGCTCCTATTAAAATATAGTTTATCACCTGTCCAAATATTTCTGGTCTTTTATGCCCGTATGTAAAACCAAATTTGGAAGTACTGAATATGGAGCACTGATTTGTAGGGAAGCCTAAATCAAGAGGTGGAACTGTGGTTAGAATACATTTTTTAAAGAACCTTACCTAGAGGTCATATATCAATGTTCCTTGTAAAAGAGTGAAGAAGTTGTGAAGAATTTGAAGAAAACTCTGGAATTTTAAATATTTAAATGGACCGACTCACTGTGTAGTGTGACAGCTAAAATGAAAATTTAATAACATATGTACATTTAGAGCGGGGTTTGTTAACAGTGGCACTATTGACATCTGGGGCCAGATAATTATTTGTTGTGAGGTTTTTCTTGTGCATTGTAGGATGTTTAGCAGCATCCGTGGCCTCTACGTACTAAGTGCCCATAGTACCCCTCAGTCATTACTATGCAAAATGTCTTGAGACACTTAAAAATATTCTCTGGAACATTGATTTAAAATTTGTAACTCGATAATATGGGATTTGCTATTTCACTCTCCCAACTTGAGCTCTACTGAGAATAAGTGAATACATGAATGTGATTATTGCGGAGAATAAAGGAGTTCCTGTTTTGAACCTACAAAGCTGTATGGCGGCTCGGTTATTTTGTGCCCAGCCAGACTGCGGCAAAAGGATTGGAGATGTAACTCAGTGGTAGAACTTGTCTAGCATGTTCAAGACCTCAGTAGAGGATATGATAGGGAGTGCCCTGAAGACCTTCATTCCTTGTTTATTTACTCCTTCTGTGTGCATCTAACAAACGGGTATCCTGGATTACAAGCACAACCAATTTGGAGGACAAATGAGATGTAGGGAGAGGGCTTGCCTTTGGCAGGCAGTTGTGCAGAGGTAATGGCTTAGGTTTTGATGAGAATAAAGGAAAAAGAAAAGGAGACGCATGAACTTTAAGATAAGGAACATGAGGGCTGGGGATGTGACTCAAGCGGTAGCGCACTTGCCGGGCATGCGCTTGGCACTGGGTTCGATCCTCACACCACATAAAAATAAAGATGTGTCTGCTGAAAACTAAAAAATAAATATTAAAAAGTTCTCTCTCTCTCTTAAAAAAAAAAAGATAAGGAATGTGAAGCTGAGAGTTAACTGAGTTAACTAACATCACAGTACTTGAAAGTGGTAAAAAGTGACCAGAGTTTGGGGTCAGTTCCACTTGATCATAAAGACTATTGTTTATTGCTTAGTAACCTGACACTGAAGGTGCAGATGAGGTTTTCTCAGTTTACTTGCCTCTAAGCCCACTGTCCTGAGATAGCCAATGTTGACAACTGGCTGCTTCCTTCCACACTTTTCTTTCTCCTAATTCAGTATATTACTTACATACAATTGCCCAGAACTGACAGGTCAGTAAGTCCTGAGCCAAATCTCTATTTCAGCCTAAACACATACTATGCACACATCTATATAATTTTGTGTAAACAGAGTCCTTTTAGATAGATTCTATATAAATGGGAACCCTATATAACTTGTCTTTTTCAATTTTCTTATCTTTGTGTACCATCCCCCGTACTCAACAATCACTAGGTGTTTGTTTGTTTCTGAGATAGGTGTGTGTTCATTTCTGTACTTATCTCCATGCACATGTGATCATATCTATGTCAATATCTCTATCTGCTACCAACCCACCTATAAATAGATATAGATATACACTTACACGTATGGGGGTTTTGTTCACTGTATCATTTATATAAAATGGGATTATATTTTGTCTTATGTTTTTTCCCCATATTTAACAAAGCTTATAGAAATCTATTGTTATAGAGCTAATTCATTATTTTAATGGTTGCATGATGTAACTATTTCATAATTTATTAACATTCCCCTATTGATGAACATGTACCTTGTTTCCAATTTTCAGAGCTAACAATATGTTCATATATTTAACATTAGGTCCTGAAATTTTATTTTCATAGTATAATTTCCCAAGAATAGGATTGCTGGTTGCATTTTAAATTTATAGTGCTAGATTGTTAGACAATAATGGTATCTATTTCCTCTAACACCTCAAGAGAGCACCTGTGTGCATTTTTCTGTTTTTTTTTTTCTTGTTGTTTTATTTTGTTATTATTATTTGGTGGTATTGGGTATTGAACTCAAGTGTGCTCTACCAGTGAGCTATATCCCCAGCCCTTTATACAGGGTCTCACTAAGTTTCCAAGGCTGGCCTTGAACTTGCCATCCTCCTGCCTCAGCCTCCTAAGTAGCAGGGATTATAAACTTGTACCACCAAACCTGGCTTTTTTGTCATTGTTGATTTGTGAGAGTACCTCATATAATAGAGAATTGCCATTTATCTTTATTAAATGTTATATTCACAAAAAATACATAAAAATAAATATATTAGAACAAAATTATATTTTTTCTAATTAATTCTAAAATATATATAAAGGATATATTCTTAAGTGTAATTTGTTTATTGACTTCATGTATGTTCTATTTTTCCTTTTTATAAAACTGAGTTAAGAGAGTATATATTATAATCTAACTTTTGTCCTAATATATTTATTTTTTATGTATTTTTTGTGAATATAACATTTAATTTTGGGAGGCTGGGGATGTGGCTCAAGCGGTAGTGCGCTCGCCTGGCATGCGTGCGGCCTGGGTTCGATCCTCAGCACCACATACAAACAAAGATGTTGTGTCCGCCGAAAACTAAAAAAATAAATAAATATTAAATTCTCTCTCTCTCTTAAAAAAAAAACATTTAATTTTATATATTTCTTTTGGATAGAGAATCATTTGTGCCTATCGCTTATTAAATATACCCACTTTTCACATAAAATTGAATTTTTTTTGTATATTAAATTTTCCATTTCTTAATATTCAATAATCTGGTATTAACTAGTCCTTTATTGACTGAGATTGTAGGCTATGGCTCATTCATGTGATAGAGTCTTTTCTTCTCTCTTCTCGGGGAAGCACGGCTTGACTGTAATTCACCTTGCAGCCTGGACTGGAAGCTTTGAGATCATGCTCATGCTGGTTAGAGCTGGAGCAGACCAGAGAGCTAAGAACCAGGTAGGTCTGTGGATCACACATGGATGTGAGCTCTCACCTCACCTGTGCAGGAGGGAGAAGTTCCAAGGCCATATCTTTTCCCTCCCACTCTCCTCAGGATGGAATGAATGCCCTTCACTTTGCAGCTCAGAGTAATAATGTGCACATTGTGGAGTACCTTATTCAAGACCTGCACCTGAAGGACCTGAACCAGCCCGATGAGGTGTGTTTGCAGTGGGGGGAACAGGTTTCACATAACCCCCACTGAACCTAGCTTTCTTCCTTCCTCTGGTGCAGCTGCCCAAATAGCAAGCACAGACAGCCCTGGCCTGGTAACCAGCTTCTCCATCACTGTGGCAGACCACAGCACAGAAGGGAAGTGCTGCTGTTGGCAGTGACCCTGGCCTCTGCATGTGGGGAAAACTCGAAGTATGGAGGAAGCAGCTGGATTCCTTCTTCTTTATTCTTTCATCCTGTCCAGGATGTGGACAGTGTCTACCCCTTTAAATATTAGAATGTGTGCCTAAATTTTATTCTTTAATGCATGAACTTTTAAGAATGTATTTGATCCAAAGCTATGAAGTAACCAGTTATGGAATATAATTCAGTTCTACTGTATTTGTCTATATTCTTTTTCTTTTCTTTTTTTTTGAGGGGGTACTGGGGATTTAACTCAGGGGCACTCGACCACTGAGCCACATCTCCAGCCCTATTTTGTATTTTATTTAGAGATAGGATGTCACTGAGTTGCTTAGCGCCTCACTTTTGTTGAGGCTGGCTTTAGGCTGGCTTTGAACTCGAGATCCTTCGGCCTCAGCCTCCTGAGCTGCTGGGATTCAGGCGTGCGCTGCCGTGCCCGTCTAGGCCTTTTGAATAGAGGAATACCCTTGATTTTTCAGCAGTGGACTGTACTTGATGAATGAGACTTGTTTTGCTCTATGCCACAAGACTATTATTCTTCATGACATTTTGCTAGAAGTTGGTCAGTACTATTCACTTCATTTCACCTATATTAAAAAAAATTACATTTTCTTCTGACTTCAACCTTAGAAACAACAATAAAACAAAAACTATTTTTTTTTCAAATAAGATCTATAAATTTCTTTTACTTCTTTTGCATATGACCAAACAACTATCCACTTACAGAGGCAGATAGACAGATGTTCTATGACATTAGCTATGTGACTTGAAGCAAGTTTACCAACTGCTGAAAGCCTGGGTTTCTCCATCTGTACAATGGGAATGATAAAATCTACTTCATGGTAGCACCAAGATCCCCTGTGAGAGAAGCCCCCCCACACACACACTTTATTGGCAAGCCTCCATTCTTTGATGTAAATGATTGATACTTCCTCAATCTTATGTAAAAGTGCCTATGTAAATTAGCTTTTCTTTTTCTGAAGGAGGAGTACCGGGGCTTGGACTCAGGGGCACTCAACCACTGAGCCACCTCCCCAGCCTGATTTTGTATTTATTTAGAGACAGGGTCACACCTTGCCATTGCTGAGGCTGGCTTTGAGTTTGCGATCCTTCCGCCTTAGCCTCCCAAGCCGCTGAGATTACAGGTGTGCGGTACCATGCCCGGTGTAAGTTAGCTTTATGATGAGCCAGTGCCCCTTCCAGTTAGACATCATTTCTAAGCCATTCCTATGTAGCAATGTTGGAGCTGTTACTGTTGGGATGCTTAAATGAGGTATTGACTATAAAATGCTTAGCAAAGAGCTAGGTTTAAGGTAAGTGCTCACTATATCATCGTCAAACACCACTTAGTGTTGGTGTGAGGAAGCTGATCTTTGCATTTTGATCCATGCTGAGTAGGTAGTATGGTTTGGATCTGAAACATCCCCCTAAAAGTTCATGTACTGAAGGCCTTGTTCCCAAGGTAGCAGGTGTTCCGAGGTGTGGCGTTTGGAAGGTGATTAGACCATGAGAGCACTAAACTCTTTAATGGAGGTTGTGATGGATTCATACTTTAATAGGCCATTGGGAGGCGGGAGAAACTTTAGGGTGTGGAACCTGTTTGGAGGAAGTACGTCACTAGGGTCATGCCTTTGAAGGGCATATCTTGTTCCTGAACCCTTTCTCTCCCCACCCTTCCTCTCTTGATCATCATTGCTTCTTGACTGCCATGAGGTGGGCAGCTTGCTTCACCATGCCTTTCCACCATGATGTTCTTTCTGCCTTTCCAGAATGATGCCCATAACAATGAAGCCAGGTGTGAGCCAAGCCATGCATGGTGATGCATGCCTGAAATCCCAGTGACTCAGGAGGTGGAGGCAGAAGGACGGCAAGCCTCAGAAACTTAGTGAGACCCTCAGCAAATCAGCAAGACCCTGTCTCAAAATAAAATAGTCTGTGGATGTAGCTCAGTGGTAGAGTGCCCCTGGGTTGAATCCTCAGTACCAAATAATATTGGTAATAAATAAATAAATAATACTTGTCAGGTGGATGGCAGTGACTTAGAAACAAAGCACCAAGCAGCCTTTGAGCGTGAAAGAAACATCAATCAGGCACCAAAGGAACTACCTATCAATCCACAGGGTCTCCTGGCCAATCCTGGATCTCAGCCAGTTCCCCAACCACTCCAGTGGTACAAGGAACTCTAAAACTCCTTTTTCCTGTCCCAAGCCCTTCCTTCCTGCTGTAAGCTCCATAAAAATTCCAGTCCTGTCGAGCCCCCATGCGGTTTCTCCTCAGACCCTCTTCCTATCTGCTCTTCCAGGAGTGGAATCTCAATAAAGCCTCATTCAGCAGCCTTTTAAACCTGCCTCCTTTTTGGTTGCTGCTGTTGCCTGACCTTACAATATTGTGATCCAAAATAAGTCTTTTCTTTCTTAAATTGTTTTTCTCAGGCATCTTGTCATAGAGATGGAAAGCTGACTAATTCAGCAGGGATGCAGCCTATGAATGAATTCCATTCAGTTCAATTCAGCAGATATTTTTTGAGGGCTGGTTATGTATGATACACACAATTTTTTTCTCTTTCCCCTTTCAGTGAACTCTGACTCCCATGGGAGACAGCAGTGTGTGGGAAAGATCTGGCAGGCTGTTGAATTCAAAGGCCAAACAGGTTTACTGGGAGCTTTTCTATTTCTTGAGCTTCAGTTGGTCAGCTGCTTCCTGTCCATTATCATTTCAGCTGGTTTGGGGCTTATCCTGTCTCATGCTTCTTCCTTCTGCTTTGTTGAAGAAAACACTGAGGATTCCTGGCAGAGACTGTGCATAGCCACATTCTATTAAAATATCTTAAGATGGGTTCAGAGACATACAAGAATGAGTGAATGATAAGACCACTGGGTCATGTAGGGAAAGAAGACTCTCTGAGTCCAATTTTAGTCTTACATGAAAATTATTTAAAAGATCTATCAATGGAAATGACAACAAAATCTCCTCTTTTTACTAAGATATATGAGTGAGGTCAAATATGTTGACAAAAGTCAGTTGGAATCATGGTTGCTAAGGACTGAGGGTGTGTGTGGAGATTTATTGTCTAATAAATTGCTTAATGGGTACAGAATTTTACTTGTGCAAGATGAAAGGATTATGCAGCTAGATGGTTATGATAGTTATACAGTCATTTGAATATAACTAATACCCCTTATACCACTGAACTATATACTATATACTTAATAATGGTCAAAGTGGTAAATTTTATGTTATGAATATTTTAACACAATAATAAAATGGAAAAAGAAGCCAATTTGGAGCTGGACTCAGGAACTCATGGTCATGTTACTGGAGTCAGATGTCTGGTTTGCCTGACGCTGAAGTACTAATGCTAGGGAGATGAGTGTTGGTAGGAAGGAATGGGGTTTATTCCAAGCCAGCCCTGAAGAAAGTAGAAGGGATAGCTCCTCAAGGCTCTATCTTCCTGAGCTCAGGGCTGCATAGGTTTTTTTTGTGTGTGGGGAGTTGAGAAGGTAGTGAGGCTTCAGGCTGGTGAAGTCTGACGCTTCTCAGTGAGGGCCAGTGTCTTCTTTAGGACATCACAATGGATTTCAGCCCCTGCAGTTAGTTACTAAGGACTTGTGTTGCAAAGATCATCTTGGTTCTGTGAATATAAGCAAAGGTTTAGCAGTTAACATCTAGCTGGGCTTCTCGTCAGCCAAAGGTTTAGAGAGGGGTATGAGGGCAAAAAGGCAGGGGAGGGGGAAAAGGACAATTTCAAGGGGGCCTCTGTTCAGTCTGTCAGACTATTCATCAAAATAGATTTGATAGAAAAGACAACTGTATCTTCATAGCACTACTCTCGTCTTGATTCTTATCAACAGCAAGTATGGAGAGCCTATTTACTTGCCAGAGTTAGTAAAAATCCTCTAAGATAAAGAGGGAACTCCAGATTCTAACAAGGAAAACTTTACTGGGAGGAGGCTTTTAAAAGAGAACGGACTTCACTGGGCACAAGAGACTTTGGGTGGAGCTGGGGGCATGCAGGGCATTGGGAATTATTTTGAGGTTTCTCCAAGTTCCATAGCCCTGGGAATCCCTTAGCAGGCAAGAAGAGATTAGAGGAGCCAGAAGCTATAGGTAAAGTAGTCTAGATATTTTGAATCTACTTGCGAACTTCCATCTGGTGATCAAAACCAAATACTCAGATGAAAATTTTGAGGAGGGAGGGAAATAGAAAGGAAGGCCTCACCAGCCATTCATATATTGGTTGGGCATTTACAAGAATTTGGTGCTACAATGTTTGTTGCTGAAAGCTCAGTCTGTGTCCCTGATGCCAATCCAATAATGAATACATGGTTTTGAGAAAAAGGAAAAAGAAGGTTTATTGCTTTGCTAACAAAGGAGAAACACTGGGGACTCCTGTCCCCAAAGCTGTTATTCATCAGCAGGAACAGGGGGCTTTTAAAGAGTGACTCAAAGGCTCCATTCCATAAGTTCTCTGTTGGTGTTGTCATTCACTTATTTATTTAGGAGATAGTCCTTTCTGAGATCTTCTGGAAAGATCTTTCTGAGATCTTCCCCAAAGTCTGGATTACTTCGTTCCTATGGTGGGTTTGTACTCAAGGACAGATAAACTCTGTCTAGGATGGGAAAGAAAGGTAATTTCTTCTCCTGAGATTAGGGAAAGAAGAGAAAGAAACATGTTCATTTTAAAAATAAATTGCAAAGTAGCGATGGTTATATTTAAAGCATAAAGTGGACTACTGTCACAGTTGTGTTGGTTCCAACTACAGATGAAAGGGAATATCCAGTGGGCTTTATCTTTTTTTTTTC